GGGGTGCATGGGGCGCCTGGCAGCCCCTTAGCCACTCTGCCCCATGTCACAGCCGGCTGCCCCGCGCTTCCTCCCTGCATTGGCCTGGCCACCCTTCATCGCTCCCGGTGGGCGCTGGGGAAGAGCAGCGCAGTCAGCTTGAGGCACTGACCTGCAATGGTTAACATAACAGGGGTGTATTTATGAAGCAATCAAAAATATTCCAGCATAGTGAGAAAAATCTGGCTGGGAAAGGTGGTCTGATGCTGTGCAGCCTAGGTGGGATGAGGGTCACAGGCCCCTCAGCGCAGGGGGGTCCGGGTTCTTTGCCCACCCATGGGAATTAGGTGCTGGTGGGTGGGTTGGAGGCACCTTTGAGGTATCCCAGAAGAAGTTCCCCCCGTCCCCTGGACGTGCAGTGAAACCAGCCCAATGGGAGAGTGTTTCACCCCTACGTGCCATTTCTGGATCCTCTCCAGTTCCTGTGGGAGAAGCCGGTTTTGCTGGAGGAGGCAGGAGGTGAGGGATGAGCACTGGGGAGGAGCAGGTAGCACCATGCCCAGCAGCAAGGGAAAGGGTCCTTTTTTTTTCGGCCCCCCCTGCTTTCGTGTGAAGCAGGGACACCAGCCGCTACCCCGTGCTTTGTGTGGCTGCATCCCAGACAGGTCACCCCGACACCACAGGGATGGGCAGCACGGCTGCAGCGAGAGGCACGAGGCTGGTTCCCCCCCGGCAATGCCACTGCACCAGGCCATGGAGTATGGTGCAAGGGCAGGCAGGTGGCAGGCAGCGCATCCTTGTCCCCTCGTTTAGCACAGAGGTCTCCAGTCCCCCAGCTCCGGGGCTTTGGGGTGTCCGCACTTGTGCCAGGGGTGAGTGAAGAGGGAACAGCCCAGCACACCTTTCCCAGTCCCATATAATGGGGGCTGCTTTGTTTTCCTGTCTGCACAATACACACCGGTTCCTCCCTCACACCATGCACAGGATCTCAGGGACGGAGCATCGTCTGCGGGGTAATTAGCAGCGCCGGGGGCTCCGCCTTTGGGAGCATGCAGGGCAGATGCCACTGGGCTGGGCGGGCTGGCAGATGGCTTGAAGGACTCTCTGGGGATCTCAAGCCATTACCAATAATTCAGTGTCTTTCTTCAAACGTGACGTGGAAGTGCCTCGCCGGTGCTGCAGGAGGAGGGAGGGCTGTGCCTGTGCCAAGACCGCACACGCCAGCCCCAGCCGCTCTTCACAGTCTCCCCATAAAATTAACTCGAGGTGTGTTGCTTGCTGTGCTCCCTCGCATGTTAATGCTTTCCCTCACTTAGGTTAGCAGCAGCCGTTCCAGGGACACATGGCTGGGGGCCTGGACCGTCCCTCCTTGCTGGTGGGAGACCCTGCCCTTGCAGCCATGGTGCTTGGCGTGGTACAAGCCCACAGCAGGGACAGCTGCCCCCAAACTGTGCTCGAGGAATGGGGTCTGTGCCCAGCCACCAGCCCTGCGGATGGAGCAAGGAATGTGCTTGGGATCACTGGTACCCAGGGAGCCACCTCTGCTGTGCTCCAGGCAGCTCCACAGTGGCCCTTTGGTGTCAGCTGAGCTGGCCGCAGGGATTGTCTCCTGACCCCTCTGTCCTGGAGAGGATTCTCACCTCCTTTTACCCATCCTCTCCAGAGAGGAGACAGCACAGCCCTGGGAGTCCCAAGGCTCAGGCACGGGCCTGCAGCAGGCACGGCTCAGTGCCGGGCACTTACCCTCTTTGCAACCCCTCTCCTTTCCCACCTGCTCCCCCAGCTGCACAGCATCGTGAACCCACTGGGGTTGAACACTGCAGACAAAAGATTGTTTATCAGGACCCGCCACAGCCTCTCCCAGCGCTGGCTCGCTTTAATTAGCCCCATCAAAGCCGGCTGCGTCTCTCCCTCCTGAAAGGTTGCAGAACATGATTAATTCAGGCACAGAAAGCAGCCGCCTCCTGCAGAGAGGGGCCCCTCTGATAAGGCCAAAGCTGTTTCCTCTCCCCACAGCACCCTGCATCTCTCAACCCCTACGCAGCAAGGTTGGGGGCTCCTTTCTCCTGGGGCAAAGCTGTGCATGGGCTCAGGCTGCTCCAGGAGCCAGAGGGGACAAGCAGGAGCCATGGCCTCACCAGGCCCTGGGTCTCTCTCCCCATCCCACCCATACTGCAAACGCAGCTGCTGTCCGCTCCAGTCAGGGGCATCGTCCACTGCCCATCTGTGGATCTGTAGGTGGGACTGTCCACCAAAATCCCCAGGGACACGCAGTGAGGATGGTACGTCCCCGCTGGGTCTGGGCTCACACCACCTCTTGCAAACACAGAAGTCCACCGCGAGCCCTGGGGACGTGCAGGGGATGCTCCAGCTGCCCCCAGTACCGAATTGCTATGGCCGGTCCTCCCCGCTCCCACCTGCATGCAGCTCTAGGGTTGCACACGCCGTAACTCAGCTTTATTAGCTGTATTTGTAGGCAAAGGGGTTTTAAAAGGAAAAAGCCTTTGGGGAAAAGAGATAGACAGGGGGGATCACTTCCCCCTTTTTATTTATGCCAGCACGGCTGCACACAGAGTACCGACGGCATTCAATACCCTGGAGAGCCAATTACTGCAAGGAGCACAGCCAGAGCAAAGGCTGGGCTGTTCTCCACTTAATTTTCTTAATACAGTCACATCGTCTCGGAAAAGCACTGCTGCTCAGAGGAAGGTACAAAGCAGATTCCCAGCGTGAATCCTCCACCTCAGGGAAGGCAGGCACAGCCTGGGCAGAGCTTTGGGGCTTCCCTTCTCAGGGCGGGGAGAAGGGGGCTGCAGCTAGGGCAGAGAAGGCACCCCCAGCAAGCACCAACACAACACTGTTGTCAGGTTTTTATTTCAATTTCACAAACATCCTTCCAAGAAATCAAACCATGAGAAGAAAAAAATAGTATGAACCCCTGAGAGGACAGACGAGCCTCAGCCCCAAAATTAACTGACCTGGGGGGAGCTGCGGGTAAGGGAAGGGGGTTTGCAGTAGAGCTCAGGAGCCTGAGCCACATAGATCTCACCCGTCCTCCCCGAGCCATTTGGCAGAGTTCAGCCACGCCAAGCCATGCCAGCCTTGTGCAACAGGACTGACGGTAGGGAAGCATGTTCCTATAAACCTCTTCTGCAAAGCAAATCCCACAGCCAAGCGAGCCCCCCCTGTGCATCCCCAGACAGGCCCCAGCTCCATGCTGGGCTCAGTTCCACTGTGCCTGGACACGGCAGGTCGTGTGGGTACCGAGCACCCTCCCTCCTGCCCCAGCCCTGCGTGGTGCTGGTCAGGCAGCCCTCGCCACGCTGCCTGCAGGGCTTCATGTGAACCCCGGGAATGAAAAACAGCACTGCTGCAGGGGAGAGATAGGGCAAGGTGGGGCCAGGAATTCAATATGTATCTCTTCTCACGCATGTGAAAGGCTTTGCTCGTGGTGCTCTTTAAAGCCAGTGCGCACAGCCATGTAGAAGCTGATCTCAGCCGCTGCTGGGGGTCTGCCCATGGAGGCAGGGGTCAAGCCTTCTACCCCTTCTCGCTGATCAGCCCCTTGCTTGGGTAAAGAGCAAGAGAGAAACCATCTCTGGATGGGGAGTCCACTCTGGCTGTTCACCTTCAGTCAGGCTACTGCAGTTCCCCAGCACAGGAGCGGCAAGAAGCCAGCTCCTTCCTCCACACTGACCACTTGAGTAATGCCAGCGGCAAAAGTGGTGCCACCCCAGAGAAGCAGAGGAAACCCCACAGCACCCAGGCTGTTCTTGGAACACCAGGACACACCCCACATTGCCACCTTGTGCAGGGCAGGACTACGTCAGCTGGGTGCAAACGGCCGGGCACCCTCAAAGGAGCATGGAAAGAAATGAACCTACTGCCTCCTCTTCTGTCCTGCACACAGGGAAACCTTTATAGCTGCTCTGACACACAGGAACATAGCCCCGAATGAGGAGAAGGAAAATGCTGCTGAAAAGACCGAAGTCCACTGAACGGGGAGTGAAGAGGGGAAAGTGCTCCTGCTTCTGAGGAGACTGCTCTGGCTGCGGCCATGAGAAGCCATGCAGTGACTCCTCACATGAACATGTCATCATAGCCTGGAGGGGGAAGGTGGTCAGGATCTGGCCTGGAAAGAAATTCAGAGCAGAGTAAAACCAGGAGTGAGAGCTCAGTCTTGTAGGAACAGGAATGAGAGAGGAGATCCAGGGGCAGCCCAGAGAGCAGGCTGGGGATGCTAGGCACAGCCAAATACCTACCCAGATCTACCAGCTCCTAATGGGCCAAATGGGTCAAATCTGGCACCTGGTGGAACTGCTCCCGGGGGAAGCCGGCCTGGAATGCCTGATGATGGGTCAATGCCAGGCTGTGGGAAGCCAGACCGGAGAGGATCCACAATCATTCCCCCACTCCGACCTCTAGGAAGAAGAAACGTAGAGAAGGAGATGAGATTGGCACTGGTGAGAGAGAAGCCAAGTGTGTCCCTGTGCCAGACCTCTGCTGCAGGCATGACGAGCGCCGGAACATGGGGTTAAGCTGACACACGGCACGTGGGAAGGAAAGCACCCCTAACCCACTGCAACACAGGCCAGGACAAGCCAGTGAGGCAAGCCCATGGCAGCAAGACAGAGAGTCCTTCATTTGTGTACATGTGCCTGTGTAAGAGTGCTAGGGCACATCTGATCCTTGTCCCACAGAGGCTCCTGTCTGCCACGGGAGGGAACCTGAAGGCATCACACCCTGTTCCTGCCCAGGGTTATCTCAGCCCTGCAGACCTGCCTGCACCACACCACAACACAAGGTCAGGGGCAGGACATGAATCATGGCTCATCATCATGCTAAGGTGGGAGTCTTACTGCTGCAGAGCACACGTTAAGTCAGGGCACCAGGAAACACCCTGGTCCGGGGCACCACCATGCCACCAAACCCTCAAGGGCTAGCTGCAGACACGCACAGGGAAGCGACAGCCCTCATCTGCCTTCCTCAGAGCCAATGCCAAAACAGACACTCAGAGAAGTGGAGAGGCAGCTTCCCTCTTCCTTCTGCAAGGAGCCATTTAGGGCATCAGCAAAGGCTGGTAAATCCTGGTGGGCTGCTGACCATCCTCTGGGGAAGCGTTGGATCCGCTGGCCCTTGCTGCTGGCTCGTACTCCTGTCCCTGCTCTCCTGGGCAAGTAGCACGTCCTGCCCTGTGCAGTGTCGCAAGAGCTCACGGATCCAGCCGTGGCTCCTGCCAGCCTTTCCAAAGAGCTGCCTGGAAGTCATTTGCTGACCACGGTGGCTCCTCGGAGCTGCCCCACGCTGCGAGTGCCATTCCTCATAGGCGGCTTTGTGCAAACTCGGCTGGAGCCTCTGGACACCGCTGCCATCATAAAAGTCATTAACATCCGCGCTAATGAGTTCCATTACGCCAGGCCAGCTGCCCAAAGCGCCCCGGGACAGCCAGGCCTCACGAGCATATGCCTGGGAGTCTGGGTCTCCAGCCCCAGCGCTGGCAGGTGTCAGCACACAAATCTGCTTCCATTTACAATCTTCTTTTGTCATTTACAGAGAAAACTTCTGATGAAGGGCTGGAATCAGCAAGAGAAACAGGGTTCTCCCCACAACTGAACCCCTTCGCCTCGTGTTACCGGGTTTCCTTCCAGCCACCCAGGCTCCAGGCCTCTCCTTCCAGCTGGGCATGACATTTTTAGCTGGCCCTTTTCTAGCCAAGCCCATGGAGAACCAAGTCTTGCAAGAGGGGAAAAAATGCCATCCCCACAGGAGAGAGGTTCCAAAGAGGACTCCCCTGGGCCGCAGGATGCTCTGCAATGACTCCAAGAGCTGGTTTTTGTCTGACTATGTGCTTTTAACTGGAATGAAAGATGATAGGTTCTACTTGCCTGACCAAACCAAAGACAGAGAGATGTATCTGTGAAGGTTAGTCCCCCAGACAGCCCTGCTTTTACCCAGGCTTTCTCTTGAGTGCCTCAGACACCAGGGAGGCTCACAACCAGGACTTGAGAATCTGTGGACTCGGCTCTAAGCCTCCCCTTCTCCAGACTGCTGGGCTTTAGACACAGCAGCTGGTAACATTTTAAATTAGAGGCTTACATTCACTTAACGATGTATTCAGCTTTGATTTACTGAAGGAATTACTGCATGTTAAATGAATACAAGCTGATTATTAAACAGACGCAGATTGCAACCTATCATCTATGCAAAAGACAGGATCTTATTACAATATTAGAACCATATTGAGCTTTAGCAACTGTCAATTGGTCCCTTACAATTTGCACTGAGCAACCATCCCATCGCTGTTCGCACTTGGAGACACTTCACTGGACGCCTGAGCCAGGCAGACTCCAGCTGTTCCAGAGAAGGCCCCCAGCCACCCCCACACACCCCAAAGGCAGAGCAGGGGAGCACCCCGGACGCGCAAAACACAACCTCTCCCAGCTATACTCACCCAAAAGGGTCCAGGTCTTCCCCACCAACAGCGAAGGGGTTCAAGGGACTGAAATACACAACACATCAAGACATTCAGTGAAGGGAGACCAGCTGCATGGAGTGAGCAAGAGCAAGCAAGCAGGCTCATGGGTGCTCTCCCACGGGAAGCGCTGCAGCACCCAAAGGGCTCTGGGACCTGTGTGACCCTGTGTGAGCAGGCTGGCATTGGGAGCTACCCCATGCCCAGGATGCAGCATTCCCTGCTCTAGGGTGCAGCTGGGCACGGACACCGGTGTACGTGGCAGGCTTGCAGGAAGCTTGCTGAGATGAAGGGGGCCCCGCTGTTCCCACTGCTCCGGGCTGAAACTGTCTGTGGAAACTGGGAGTTTCCATGCCAGAGGCTCCTTGAGCAGTGCCGGGCTAGGCCAGGCTCTCCAGCATGTCCCATTTGGAGACACAATGACAGTCCTGCTTCCAGGAGTGCGAGAACAGCGGGGCGGTAAGCCTGCAGCCAGCTGTCACATCTCCTTGCCAATAATATTTGCCAATGACATAGTTTCAGAGCTGTGCCCAGCTCCAGCCTGTCTGCCCAGGCCTTCCCAAGGAGCATCTTGCACCCTGAGCAGCCCTGAGCACCAGCAGACAGCAGTGGGGTTAAAGAAGCAAGAGGTGACACGCAAGGCAGAAGCCACAGCTGGTCCCCAAGGGACAGCAGGGCCACCACAGTGTCTCTGACTTCCAGCCAAAGGGGATTTCAGCTTGTGGGGGAAGAAAGGGGGGAGCCTGCCTGCCACGTATAAGGAGTGGCTGGGCACGAAGGGGCCAGGGAGGGATGGTGAAGCGGGTGCCACGTGTCCCCCTCTCCCCAGCTTTGCCAGCAAAGGGTTTCAAAGGGAAACTGGGGTCAGGAGAGACAGGAGAAGAGGTCTCTGTCCCCCACCACCAAGCCCGCACCTCCTGGGCCTGGCTCCAAATCCCAGCTGGGTGCACCGTCCTGGGAGAACTGCTCTACCAGCCACAGCAGGCAGGAGGCTTAGAGGCAGACCTGGCTCTGCCCCAAGCGAAAGCAGAGCTCTGCACCCACCCCACGCCCTCTCCCCTCCGCCGTGAGCAGGGACCCCACAGGTCTGCAGGAGCCCATGGCTCCACCTGACACCCAGCGCTCTGGTGTCCCTCCCAGAGGCTGCACCGTCCTTCCCACTGCTGTGCCTGCTCTGCCAGCCCCGAAGCCCTGATGGTCCCTCAGCCATCATAGAGCAGGGTCTCCCTCCTTCCACCCCTCACCTTATCCCCAGCCCTGCACGCTGCCTGGTCCCTCCTGGGTCTGCAGGTCTCCAGCTACACACCCAGGCAATGCTGAAGGAGGGTCAAACCAACACGCAGCTCCAGAACAGGCCATCCATCAGCAGGCAATTTAAATCAAACCCAAGTGTGTGGCCAGCGAGGCTGAAACTGGCTGGAGAGGGTTTGGATCCCCCTTGCTCCCCCTCCCACGTGTGCAAGACGGGAACCTGAGGTGAAGTCTGGAGAGCTGTGCCAGCACCACGTCCCTTCTAACGGAGGACCGTCAGCAGCCACCTGCTCTTTACTCACCCGGATGGTGCTCTTGCGCCTGCCGGCTGCCGGGGAGGGACCCTGAGAGGGTCGTAATCCCGGGGCAAGTCAGGATCCTTCTCAGGCTTGGGATCCTTTTTGGCCTTTTCTGCAGGGGCCCCAAGGGGAGCGACAATGCCCGAAGCAATCCTTGTCCTTAGCTCCTCGGTGTTCTTGTACACCCTGCAGGGAGGAGAGGTGAGGCAGTGGGCTGGGGAGGCCACAGCACCTGAGTGCAAGGTGCTGGACAGGTTGCAAGAGGGGTGGTGAGGGAATGGACAGGCCCAAAGAGTCCTTGGCACAAAATGGGTCCCCAGCTGGCAGCACGGAGGGGACAGGAAAGGATAACAATGTGCAGTGGCACCAAAGCCCTGACCCTATTTGAGAGGGCGGAGGTGCCACCCAGCCCACACTCCTCTGTGGTGTGGCCATGACACAACCAGTTCTGCACTGGAGGAAACCACAGCACATCACACTGGCCTCTAGCAAGGCCACAGGGTGTCTGGGCCACGGTTGAAGCTGTAGCACCACTGGGCAGTATCCACCGAGCACAGACAGGCAGGCAGTGCTCTGGAAATAAAAGTGCTGGGCTGGCCCAGCCCATTCCCAGGTGGGGTGACTCTCCCCTGGGCTCCGATCCAGGGTCTCACCATCCCCTAAATCCCTCTTGCCTGCTGCCAGCAGTGCAAAGGGAAGCAGAGGAGGGAGCTCTGGCTGCATTTTAGGGCTGGCTGGTCTGCCCCCAGGGTTTGTACTGGGGAGCAGAGTCCTCCAGACTCCTCCTAACCTAGTCTCTGCCCCCCTTCCCACGCCAGTGGGACATTTTCTCCTGCAGAAAATTACAGGGAACTGAGATTACTTGTGGAAATCATCCAGGTGCTCCGGGTTGATGTAGTCAGCCACTGCCAAAGTCACATCTGCTACCTTCTGAGAACTGCGATCCTGGCAAAAGACAGGTGAAACACAGAGTCGGCAGCCTGGCAGAGCTGGGAATAAGGGAAGGAACAGGTACAACTGCAGCCAGGGGCTTGGGATACAAGGAATGGGCTTGCCTGCTTCCTGCCACATCCCTGTGCTATGCCTGAATCCCCAGGAGCCAACCAATTCCAGTGTACAGTGGGGCTCTCCCTGCTCACTCCCCCAATCAGGGCTGCAAAGGGTGAAAGCAAAAACAGCCCAGGCAGGTGCTTGTGGGGGACAGGAAAAAACATCTGCAGAAAAATCCTGAGCTGAGAGTGGGACACAAAAGGGACAACTCCTGGGCCAGAGTGCGCAAGGCAAATCGCATCGCTGCCCCAATACGGCTGGTGTTTGACCAGCTTCACACTGGGACACTGCTGCTGCTGCACAGGCAGGTCTACAGCCCCTAGCACCTCCTGGGTCTGCCCCATCCTGACGGACAAACATTGCTGCAAGGTAGAACAAGTAACAGCAAAAATTTAAGAAATGGACCCTGCTGTTCTTTGCACATTTTGGGCAGCAGTGGCTGCTGTACCTGAAAGACCCCAAACCCACAGGGACCAGCCTGGGTACTCACCATGACGTTGAGGATCATACTGTCTTCCACCATGATGGCCTTCAGCAGCAGCTCATGGGCATCGTCCGTGGACTTGTAGCGCAGCGTATACACCTCCTTGTTGGCTTCCCAGCCGGCGGGCAGCAGCTCTGACTTCCTTTCATTGGGACCTGGCTGCAACAGGACAGATGTACTGCTGAGAACCTGCCCACGAGCCCAGGGGGAACTTGTCTTGGCTACACAGAGAGATCCAGGAGGGGATCTAGGTCTCCAGGAGGGGATATCTCAGTGACTTCCAGGTTTTTCCTACAGGACCAGGGCTTTATTTCCTACGGGCTGGTCCTGCCTGCCTGCCAGCCAGCCTCCCACAGGGTCCCTGCACTGGAACAGGAGGGTCACAACCACCCTTTGCTGAGCAGGAGAAGGCAACAAAGACCCAGACTGGTGGATGACGCT